GTATGTATTTTCTGTTTGTTTTTCTTCTTTTTGCGTCTTTCAAATGCGTTTTGCGTTCGTTTATTATTATTAATGTTACTTTACTTTGTTATTCTTTGTTTCGGAAAGAATGATAAATGGGTAATGCCAGGAGAAAGGGTGCAGATAAGGGCACTGAAAACAAGATTAAGATTAAATGAGAAAATAGACATAAAGATACAGATTGTGATAGAGGAATGGACTTGTAAAGATACTGGCAAAGACAAAAAAGAACGACAGACAAACGCACATACACGCACCCCCCCCTCTCCCACACACAGCATACACACAATCACACGGAGAGAAGCAGGGACATCGATGTGTGCGTGCGTGCATGAAGGCCGGGCGGGTGGGCGGGCGTCGAAACCGGGGCGAATTGCAGGCGAGGGCGGGGAAGAAAGCACCGCAAGAGCAGGACGCACAGCTGTCCTGGGGGGAGCAGGTGTCGATGGGGGGAGGTGGGGGTGGAGGAGGTGGAGGTGGAGGTGGGAGAGGCGGAAGGAAGAGAAAGAGAAAAATGGAAGGAAGAGGGGGAGAGGCAGAAGGAAGAGAAAGAGGAAGAGATATTAGTAAAAGAGGAAGGGTAAACGGAAGGAAGAGGGAGGGGGGGGGGAGGCAGAAGGAAGAGAAAGTGGGAGAGGCATTAGGAAGAGAGGGAGAGAAAATAGAAGATAGAGGGGGAAGGAGGAGAGGATGTATGGGAACGAAGAAGGAAGAGGGACAAGGAAAGGAGACGGAAAGGGAAAGGGAGAAGGAAGATGTGAAGAAGAGAGTACGTAGAAAGGAAGAGAACGGAAGAAAGAGAGAGAAGGGAATCAGAAAAGGGAGGGTTAAATAGAAGGAGAGATATAAAGAAAAAAAAAGAGAGAAAGAAAGAGATCAGAAAGAAGCAGTAAGAATGAGGTTAGTTGTGTGCGCGTCGAGGTTAATTTGCAGTCGTCTAAAACGTAATTGCCTGGTGGTGTTGCAGCCTCGCCTGGTCGTCACGCAAACCCCTCTGAGGACGACCTCCCCCCTCTTCCCCTTCTCCCTCTCTTCCCCCTTCGTTATTTTACTTGGGGGGGGGATTAGGGTCAGGGGGTGAGGGGGGATATAGAGAGTGTTATGGTGGCGATTGGACAGAAGATTTTTATTTTAGGAGGATGACCCTTATAGCACTTTGATACAAACTGGTACGCATACGTTGATAGCATTTAGAATATATATATATATATATATATATATATATATATATATATATATATATATATATATATATATATATATATATATATATATATAATGTATGTATGTATGTATGTATGTATGTATGTATGTATGTATTGTATGTTGTAAATTACCTTGTATAAAAAATTACCCTATCACAATAGTGAATAACGAAGTCTTAGTAACGAGTTAGGACATCACCTTAAAATATCGAATGTTACCCCGCAGTAACAATTATGGAATGCCTTTCAATACCGTAAACCAGAACGTCATACCCATCAATAAAAAAATAACAGACATCGGTGAGACTTCTCCTCAAGGATCTTGTGATCGAGGGCGCGGCGCCATCTTCGTGCTTGGCTGGCCGCTGGGGGGCGCCGCCCACCTCGGCTCTCGCTCTCGGCGTCTCTCTCTCTCTGCTTCTTCTCGGTCTACTTATCTTGTTTCTCTGTCTCGGTTTCGTTCTCTCTTTCTTTCCTTTTCTTTCTACTATCTCTCTCTCTTCGCCTCTGGATTCTTCTCTCTCTGCTCTTCTCTGCTCCTCTTCTCTTTTTGTCCTGGTTCCTGCTTCTCCCTCTTTCTCTTTATATTTCGTCTTCGTTTGTTTCTGTTATTAATTATTAAGACTTATGGTTCTGTTTCCGTTCTTCAGTCATCATCGGTATCATCACAATTGTCCTCATTATCAGTATCATTATCAGTAGCCATTACTAATGCTATTGTTAACTGATAAGTGCCAGTAGTCATCGCTGTTATTATCCAGACTGCCCTCTTATCTCCCATTTTTGCACCGCGGTGAATTGGCTTTTATCTCAAGTAAACTTATCCTGTCCGATAAGATTACGCGCCATTTTTGTCCGGTTCGAAGGCGCCCTGTTACCGTTTGAAATTGAATTTGAATATTCAGAGGAGGAACTATTGCTGTTTGGACAGGCGCGGAAGCCAAGGTTGCCAGATGAGGATGCAGGACCACGTGTTATGACAAGACACATGCTCGCTCGCTCGCTGTGTCTGTCGTTCATTCATTCTCTCGCTCTCTCTTTCTTTCTCTCTTTTTCCTCAGGTTGATCCTGTAAGGCGCGTTCACTTACACTTTCTCTCTCTCTCTCTCTCTCTCTCTCTCTCTCTCTCTCTCTCTCTCTCTCTCTCTCTCTCTCTCTCTCTCTCTCTCTCTCTCTCTCTCTCTCTCTCTCTCTCTCTTCTCTCTCTCTCTTCTCTCTCTCTCTCTCTCTCTCTCTCTCTCATTCTCTCTCTCTCTCTCATCCCCTTCACTCATCCCCCTCCCTCCCTCCCTCACTCCCTTCCTCTCTCCCTCCTTCCCTCCTCCCTATCCCTTCCTCTCCCTTTTCTCTTTCTCCTTCACATCCGCTTCTACCTTTCCACGTAACCCGAGTCTCCCTCCCCCCCTCCCCATTTGTCTTCTCCCCCAACCCCCATTTTGCAACATCACCCACACATGGACCGCAGAATCCTCACATCTGTTTCCCATATGTGATTCTATTTTTCTCTCTCTTCCTTTCTCTCACTTCGCTCCTTTACCTCCTCCTCCTCCTGTTCCTCTCTCCCCTTCTCCGTTGGTCTCAGTTACCTGTTTCTTTATACAGCTGCTTTTCTTTTTCTTTTTTTTCCTTTATGTATTTATTTTTCTAGGAAGGATCTCCTCTCCATTCCTGCCTTGCTGTTCTCTTTCTCCCTTTCTTGGCACTCCTTCCTATTCTCCCCTCTATTATTCCTCCCTTCTCGTTTTCTCCCTTTTCTTTTCCTTCTCTCTCTCTCTCCCCTCCTTCCCTCTTCTTCTCCCTTTTTTTCTCCCCTCATTCTCGCTTGTTCTCCCTTTCCCCTTCATCCACCTTTGCTCTCGACGCCCTCTCTTTCCACCGAACGTGCATAACAGCCGCAGTGACACGTGCGCGACGGGCACGGACGGACGAGTGGGCGAAAGAGGGGGAAAGAGGCCGCCTCGTTCGAACGCTGATGCTCGTTCATTAGGCGGGATGAGTCACTCCGCGCAGAAACGCGCGCGCGCACACGTGTATGTACTGTATATAGGAGATGGGTGTATACATAGCCTTACTGTTGATGTTGCTGATCTTAGTCTGGTCTTCATCCTTATCCTTCTTACTGTAATCTTCCTTTTTTCTCCTGTATTTTTCTCTCTTACATCATGATACTCCTCCACGCCTTCTCTCTCTCTGTCTTCTCCTCCGCCCCCTTCCTCCACTTATCCCTCTCTCTCTTCCTCTCCCACTTTCTTTTCTTCTTCCTCCTCCTCTTCCTCTTCTTCTTCCTCCTCTTCTTCCTCTTCCTCCTCTTCCTCCTCTTCCTCCTCCTCCTCCTCCTCCTCCTCCTCCTCCTCCTCCTGCGCCTGAATAGGAGATACATAATAACGGAGAAAATAAGATACAGGCTAAAAAGAGAGACAGGAAAATCAGAGGGAGGTCAACCTTGAGAGATAAACGTATATTTTGAGATGCCAGGGAATGTGAAAGAGTTAAGATAAAATCCAGCTGAGAGCCACTCGAATTTTCACATTAGTCATCTCTTCTTGGCATTGGCAATCGCTAAAGACTGTTGACCAGGGTGATAATTATTGACAATTGTGTATATGTGTATAATATATATATATATATATATATATATATATATATATATATATATATATATATATATATATATATATATATATATATATATACATATATATATATGATTTGGTTCTCATTACTGTGATATGGTCGCGGCAGAGTATGAATGTCAGTCCGTAATAAAAAACGAAAAAAATATAGTTATAAAAGATGCGGATTTCGTTTATGCTCAGCATTTGTATTCCACAAGAAGACGTTGATACTTATCAGGTACCAAGATTTTTTTTTTTTTTTTTCTTTTTTTGTGAGAGAGAGAGAGAGAGAGAGAGAGAGAGAGAGAGAGAGAGAGAGAGAGAGAGAGAGAGAGAGAGAGAGAGAGAGCGAGAGAGAGACGGTGTGGTAAGAGTAAGGCCTTATCATATTTGTACAGGGCAGATGAGTTCCATTATTTCCTCTTTTTTATCCATCTGTCCCATCGTCTCCTATGACCATTACCCACTGCACATCATACAGATATCACCCTTGAGACAGGTGCTCATAAAGGCGGCATTTGAGTAACTTAACATTTACCTAGATTTTAACCGCATCCTATCCGGTATCCGCTTCTGTTTGTGTGGGTTCTGAGGGAACGGATCTCCGCTTTTGGGCCTCAACCAGTCTTTTATATAATGGTGGAAAGGTAATTGAATAAATCTTTCGGTTTAATGGAAGATAGGAGACGTGCTCGTGGATTTCCTTTTTTTTTAATGGGCAGTTGTGGTGGTTTGGTTTCTCTGTCTTTCTCTCTCTCTCTCTCTGTCTCTCTCTCTCTCTCTCTCTCTCTCTCTCTCTCTCTCTCTCTCTCTCTCTCTCTCTCTCTCTCTCTCTCTCTCTCTCTCTCTCTCTCTCTCTCTCCTTCTCCCTTCTTCTTTAGACACGGTCAATCTGAGGGAGAGAAAGAAAGAAAGGAAAAAGAGGGAGAGAGAGCGAATTCACGAATGACCTTACGCCCTTGCAGTTCATAGCAACAGATCTTCGGGTCCGGTCAGGCGAAGGCGGACGTCGGGTCTGTGGATTGCAGGACCTTCGAGATCCGCGTCAGGAGTGCCTCGGTGGAGCGAAAGGGGGGAGGAGGGGGGGGGAAGCGGAGAAGAGGCGAAGGTCGGGGATTCTTGGGTTAGGGGTTCGGGGAAGGGGAAGGGGAGGAGGGTA